TTTATTTGTTTTCAAGAAGTATTATGCGTTTTCACGCCAGTGTCGTGGATGTGCTTTCTTTGTTGATTGTCTCTCGGTACATTAAATGTAGTCTCTTTTCCTAAGGCATGTGGATACTGCTGCCGTACTGTTATTCATTTAAATTTCCGTTGGATATTATTGAGAGCGTCTCAGTTTCGTTGGATGAATTTATAAGAAAACGTTTCACAGACATACGCATGTCATTGTAGACAAGAACATTGATGCGAATGTCAATATTCAGTCGAGGGTCAAGCAAGTCACATAGACGAGCGTTACTTGTTTATAATTGATTTTATTTTGCCAATTATGTTTAGAAAATTATTTATTCAATTACTTTTTATTTTTAGATGATAATTTTTTTTCAATATTTCATTGTTCAAATTTTTTTTAGTTTCCTGATGAAGTCGATGCGATGAATCTCATTTCATTGCTCAAAGAAGATAATCTATGTCCACTGCTTTATTCTTGTATACATCGTGATCAGCATTATTTTTATTTAACATATTCTAAACGAATTTTAATTGATTTTGATACTCAAACTGATTTGGCATATATGATGGCTGTGCTTCTAGCTGTTTATTACGTACTTGACATAAAATATCCACGACACAACAAGCCAATTCTCGAGATATTCGATTATATCGCACTTCATGGAAATGATACCAACATGAAGATGAAAAGTTCGTTTCTCAAAAAACTAACTGTTGCTGCTCAAAATATCATTGTTGAATATGAAAAAAAAATGTTGGGATAGAGAATTTTTTTTCTAAAGATAGATCATATTAATAAATAAAGATTATTTTGATATTATTTGATAGTTGAAAATACATAAAATCTACTGAATTAATATTATTGCATTGAATTCTTAAATAAAGGAGAGCAACTGAAGAACAAGCTGAGCTATTTAATTCTCGTAATAGTGTGTGTCCAAGACTGGATTCGAACCTCGACCAAATAATGTGTCGCTAGTCACGACGCATCCGACACATTTTAGCTTAGTGTGAATTGATTTAAACCAAATTGAATTAATGTCTTAACTTCTTGTTCGTGATTATAAACACGATAAAATTCTGAAAAGGAAAAAAAAGTCATATTGATCGTTTTGGTTAACATGTGTTAGATGACAATATCTATATCCTTTAAATTTTCTTAGTTAAGACAACTTACCCAAATTACGACCTTTGGTAATTTTTACATACAAATTAAATTCATCTAAATTTTTTTCTTTTACCAAATAATATCGTCTTGTTGAATCAATCTGTCTACCGTTTTCTTTTTTGTACAGTGTTCCATTATGAACACTATCTTTTGCTGGACGATTATTTGGATCTTGTACAAATTTTTCTAAAATTTTCTAATAACACTTCTGAGCCAATTTCTGCAAAATATTTTTTATAAGCATCATCATTAAGTGCACCTTGAACAAGTTCATCTAAGAACAAAAAGCAATGGAAGAAGATATGAGCGTTATTTTTCATTTTAGTTCATTCTCTTAAATTGTTAACACTTACCATAACTTTTGTAATCACCGTCTAATGTAAAAGTAATTTCCCAAAATGTTGTCAGTGTCATTTGTTTTTTATTTAATTTAATAGCTAAATAGAATAATGGACCAATTGAATTTTAATTATTAGAATATATTTGAAAAGAAAGAATGAGAAGAGACAGGTTCAGAGACAGTAATTGAACTGAAATAAAGGAAAAGAGAGAGACATAAATCTATTTACAGTACAGCTCTATATCAGAATAAGAAAAGAAACAGAAATAAATATCAAAGCTTTTACATTTCATAAGCAAAATTTCAAACACCAATAGTTATAAATCATATCACTTACTGATTTATTGACAGCTTTAGTTTTACTATTTAATGTATGAAAATGTTTCATACGTACTGCTGTTTCTTCAAATATCAACAATTCTCATTTCAGATTGTAACCATTGTTTGTTTACATACAGCATAAATTTTGTGAGTGGTTCAGTGAATGTTTTCAATTTTTTATTTTCTAAATATTCATTTCGTAAAGATTCAAAAGCATCATCCATTAATGATGGTATTAATAATACAATTGCCATAACGTTTTTCAGAAATAAATGTAAATCATTATTCTTTGTATAATAAGTCCATAAACCAAATTTCTTTAATTTCTTCGACATGGCTTGATATAAATGAAAGTAGACATCTTTGATGTGTTGTTTTAGGAAGTTAAAAAGAAAAAAACAGAGAAAAAAATCGCTGAAATAAGTTATTTGTTGATCGTGCACAAATAAATAAACACTTACTTGTTTTTTCACTGTGGTCATCATACCTTTTTCAAAATCAGTAATTATTCTACTGGGACTGAAATTCATTTTCATTTCTCTTGCAGCACGTTTTAGTGCTCGAAATAACAATGTATATGTATATGCTTTTTTGTCGTTTAAAAGTGCATAGAGAACTGGTGTTGCTATAAGTGAATAAGATACAAATTAAACAAAGAATATATCATTCAATTAAATTACAGAAAGAAAGAATAAATCATCTAACGAAAAAAAGCAACTATACGTTTATAACTTTTAAAAACAATTGAGAACGTTCCATCAAGACATATTAATGGTGAACTAAATAATTTTTGTAGCTCTAATGAGCTGGCAAAAGCAATAATTCTCTTTTTTGTTTCGAATATAAATGATTGAAGAAAATAAATTTTTCACCTGATGATGTCATTGAGAATGTATCAGGTATATCAAATATCATAGATCTTGGATTACATGGCATTGTTTTACTTCTAACACGATGAATCTTTCTACCTACAATAAAGAAAAAAAAACTATCAAGTATTTCTATATGACTATGACATTCACTCTCAAGATATTAAGAGAATAGACTCACATAATGTTTGAATTTTTAGTATCATCGCTATTTGTTTATCATTTAATTTCATTTTAGTTGTCAATTGATTAATTAATCTAGAATAAGGAGCAGATTGATTTGATTCGGCTGTATTTTTGAGTTGATAGTTAAATTGTGCTATTTTTGTTTATCTGGATCAGGATCATGTGAGTGGTAGTTTAGTCAGTTCCCACATTTGCACTTGTATATATTTTTGATCCCGATGTTGCTTCATGTCGAATCTCTTTACATCTCCACTTGACTTTCTTATATTTCATAGTTCTGACATATTCATATGTATAATCATGAAGACATATAAAGATATCATTTTTGTTACTTCTATAAACTGAAATAGTTCCAGGTTGTGGTAAACGATCTGCTTGTTGAACAAGGAAGACTACAACTGTTGATATTGAAGAAGAAGGATTATTAGTAGTATTTATTTTCAATTTACTTAAGCTTTTTTTGTGACTAATGACGTTAAACTTGAGGAAGATATCATACTTGAGCTAGATGATGAAGAAAGAAAGAAAGAAAGAATACCCAAATACCTTTCGATGTAGGGTGAGACAAAGAAACAAATACGAAAACAAACAAAAAGAACAAAAATAACAATAACAATAAAATAAAATAAATACGTTAGTGTTCTTTTGGTATCTGGTTTAGATTGTGAATGGTGAATTTCTCGATGTCGTCCATGAACTTGCTTTCCCACCTTTTTCTTATTTCAATATTTGCAGGACGTTTCTTTCCTGGGAA